AAACAGATCTTGGGAAATCCAGAACATGCTTTGCAATTTCAGTTACCTTGTTTGTCACAGAAAGTACAGCAGGGCACACTAAAGAATATTTAAGGGAGTAGGAAAAGATTTTTCCTTCATGCACTGTTTTGATTTTTTTTTTTGTATTTCCCAGCAGCCTTCTGCATGTGAAGAGTTTCATTAGGAGAAAAATCAGGACTTGAAACTTTTAATGAATACGATCCTCTAAGAGATTCTGAAACAAAGATCTGTATGATGTAAACTCAGGACCCATCCACTCGTAGGTAACGCTGCTACTCCTCAGCCGTACGGGAACGTGATTTACTCTCCAAGCCAGGCTGAAAAGCTTTGTCCTTTTGAATCTTTGAGCAGGACATAAATGCTTGCTCAGCAATTTGGGGTTGATTTGGTAGACTCACACAAGCTAAACACTGATGTTGTGAATTGAGACTTGGCAAAGAATGGTCTATTTTGGTGCTAAAAGCATATGCCAGCCCACTCTCTGAACTATGTGCTACCACCACATACGAGTCAACAGAGAGAGCGGTGGTTGGCCACAGCATGTAGAAAACGAGTGCCTTTACTACAAAGAGAGCTAAAAGGTAACTGAAATTACAGTTAAAAAAGAAATTATCATAAGAAGTTAATTTCCAACCAGTTCAGCCAGCTCCCCTGGAGGTTTTCTGAAGGAGGAAATAGCTACAGAGACAAAAAGCCAAGAAGTAAAGTCAGCTGGGACGCAGCGAGTGCCTGACAGGAGAGATGTGGGGCAGCTTCTCCCCAGGAACCACCTTTCTACTTACGTAGGCGCCCGCTCCTAAGGCGGACAAGCCCACAACAAGGGCAAAGCCCGAACTACCGCCTCCGCCCCCGGGCACCGCGGAGCTAGCCACTTGTCTGCTCATCCGCAGCTCTACGGGAGCATTCCAGCGCTGCAACAACTTGCCTGAGGAACACAAGTCATTAGAGAAAAAAACACAAAAAGACCGTCAATGCAAAGTCATGTTTTGAAATTTACAGACCAAGTCACTTCTGAAACGTGTTTGGAAAGCCCAGGGCCACATCGGAGCGACCGCCGTGAATTACTCTCTGCCACAACCAACGGCTCCAGGCAGTCGTGGGCACCAAAACCATCCCTAAGATCAAAGAGCAACGGAACGCTTAACAGCAGGAACATCTGCCAGGAACAGCACGGCCACCTCCCGCTGAAGGGGCCTCGAAGCCACACAGGGCTGGGGGAGCACAGCAGGGACGTGCAGGAACTGCGTCTGCTGAGCTTACGCCTTTCTCCAGGCTGCTTCTGCCGGCAGCAGGCACTGGTCTGAAGGCGCACGGGGGCTGGAACTGGGTGATCTTTGAGGTCCCTTCCAACCCAGACCACTCTACGATTCTATGGTTCTATGCGCTCTGCTCTGCAGGCAGAGGCTGACACCACCTCACCAGCACGAGCAGCAGTGTGGTTACACCAGCACAAAGCGCCTTTGCCAACACAGCTTAGAATCACAGAATCGTCTGGTTGGAAGAGACCCTCAAGATCATCGAGTCCAACTGTTCACCCTGCACTGTCAGGGGCCCTAAACCGTGTTCCTCAACTCCGAACCCACACAGTTTTTAAACACCTCCAAGGATGGGGACTCCACCACCTCCCTGGGCAGTCTGTTCCAATACCCCACAACCCTCTCTGTAAAGAAATGCTTCCTGATATCTAGCCTAAATTTCCCCTGGCGCAACTTGAGGCCATTCCCTCTCGTCCTGTCATTCATAACGTGGGAGAAGAGACCGACCCCCATCTCCCTACA